CACCCTCACAGGAAAGAAGTTCTTCCTCACATGGAGATGGAACTGCCTGGGTTTCAGCTTGTACCCGTTACCCCTTGTTCTGTCACTGGACACCACCAAGAAGAGCCTGGCCCCATCCTCCCTACACTCTCCCCTCAGGTACTTGTACATGTTGATCAGATCCCCTCTCAGTCTTCTCCAGCTCACTTAGTCTCTCCTCACACAATAGATGCGCCAATCCCCTCATCATCTTCTTTGCTCTATGCTGGACCCTCCCTAGAAGCTCCACATCCCTCTTGTGCTGGAGGGGATGCCCTTGGACCGCCCATCCAGGTCCCTGAGGAAGCAGCTGGACAGGACCGGGCCCAGCACTGACTGCAGGGGGGCACCCCCAGCTACAGGCCCCTAAACAGACTCTGCCTTTCCCCCAGCTCTCAACGTGCCTCTCTGTCCACTTGTCTCACCCACACGCCTGGAGCTTCCCATGAGGATGCAATGGGAGACAGTGCTGAAAGCCTTGCTGGAGTCGAGGAGACACCAGCCACTGCTCTGCCCTCATCTACCCGCCGTCACCCCATCGCAGAAGGCTCTGGGGTTGGGTCACCGGGATTTCCCCTTGGTGAATCCTCCCAATCGCCTTCTTGCCCTCCTCATGCTGAGAGATGAAACGTCCCCGTGCTCTCCATCCCCCCGGTTCCTTAGGAATCTTCACGTGTCCCGCTGGCCCCTCTTATCTCCCTGCAGCCGGGTTTGCCGTGTGCATTCCTGGCTCTCAGGAGCACAGTCCAAGCTGGCCAAGCCGTCCGTGTCCTGCTGCACGTTGCGTCCAGGCAGCTGGGCTTTGCTCTGCACTTTGGGCAGGGCCCCGCAGCAGCCCTGCACCGCTGGGCCTGTCTGTGCCCTTCTTGGCCACTGCCACCCATGCGGAGAAAGGGCCCTGCGGCTGCATCGCGCAGGCGCTGCCCGGCTGCTGCTGGGTTAGCCGGGCACCAACGTGGGGCAGCTGAGGGGCAGGAGGGACGGTGCAGCAGGGAGGGGGTTGGCATGCAGGGAATCGGGGGGCCGGAGGGCAGCAGGGGGCCAGGCACCAACACGGGACAGAGTGGGTGCAGCAGGGGCTGGGGAGCAACAGGGGTTCCCAGGGTGCAGCAGCAGCAGCTCAGCCCCAGGCCGGGCCCTGCAGCAGGAAGGGCGCCGAGAGCGCGCGGCCGGGCTGGTTAATGATGATGGATCGCTCCATTCTCTCCACGGCGTGGCTGAGCCGGCGCGGCCGGCGCGGGCAGCGCTCTCCCTTGCAGCCCCCCCGGCAGGGGTGGCAGCGGGCTCAGCGCACTGCTAAGAATGGCTGTCACTCAGGCGCAGGGACGCGCTCGCTGCCGCGGGGGCCCTGTGCCGCACGCACACGTTTGCAAACACCCTGCACCAGCTTACACAAAACACAGGCTGCAGCCGCAGCGCTCTCACCCGAGGAGCCCGCGGCGCCACGGGGCAACCTGGCTGCACGCGGCGGCCGTGCAGCCTGTG